TATACCGGAAGTTGGTAATTGCGTAGATGTAAGCGTTACCGAGCAGAACTGAGTTGGATGTTATAGTCGGGTAGTGGAACGATTTTCTGGTATGATGGGGTTTGGCTTGGGAATAGAATCGGCTGGGCTCGGAGTGCGTTGCCGACTCTGAGCTGAGAGCTATTTTCTGCAGAATTCGCATGCATTCGCTGGGTGAATGGGGGCGAGCCTTCGCCAGGCGAACTGGGCAGCAAATGCTGCCTTTTGCTTCTGTTTGGCTTCGCTAGGGGTTTCGCCGGGCGAGTCCATGCGAGTGTTCGCTGCGGGGCTTCGCCAAGCGAATGGCAGTGAACATGACAGCATTTTGTGATTTTTCTGCTGTGCTGTTCCGTTCTCGCATGGTTGGACCCTTGTTGGTCGTGAGCGAGTACACGGTTATTGTGGATCGGTTGAGAGCATGAAGGTGATGTAGAGGACGTGTGCTTGAAATACTCGTTGATACGAACGATTGAACTGAAGTACGCTGTGATACCTAAAGTGGGTATGTATCCTTCGACTAGGAATGAATATGTGTGGATGCGTACGTGAGATGTATGCCCAGTGTGCGAAATATGCGGATCAGTAGGATCGTTATGCATTGAGTATGTTGTAGTGATGTGTTGTGGTAAGTGGGTCCGTAGGACCGATACGCTTATTATGCGTTGCATTGGTATGCTGTTATGTGATGTATTGGGTCAGTAGGACCGACATGCCTTGTGTGCATTGTTTGTGATAAGTTGTGTGGCGAATGGATCCGTGGGATCGACGCACTGTGTGTGCTTGTTATGTATGTACTTTGTGATGTGAATGGATCCGTGGGATCGGTACGCCTTGTGCGTCATGTATAGGTATATGCTGTGTGAGGGGTGGATCGATAGGATCGGTTTGCACTTGGTGTGCTAAATGTACGATGCGTGAATGTCGTTGTGTGCTCCCGTAGTAGAGGGTGATGGCCAGGTGTCCATCGGTATTATTGTTGTGCTCCCGTAGAGGAGGGTGATGGCCATGTGTCCATCGATGATATTGTGTTATGCTCCCGGTGGGGAGGGTGATGGCCAGGTGTCCATCGGTATTATTGTGGTGCTCCCATTGTGGAGGGTTCATGGCCAGTTGCCCATCGGTGTGGTGTGCTCCCTGAGTGGAGGGTTGATGGCCAAGTGCCCATCGCTGATATGTGCTCCTGTGTGGAGGGTTGATGGCCTGTTGCCCATCGTGATTGTGAGTCGGTACCATGTGTTAAGAGTTGAGTGAGTGCATTAGTTGCGTGATTGTATGTTGTGGTTGATGGTGGGACCGTGAGTCCGGATGATATGTATATGGAATAGTATTATTAAGATTTATGCCTTTTATTTCATGTACTACTATACTATTATTATTTAATCGTGATTCTCACCCCTTTGTTGTTGTAGTGGTCTGTGCTTCTTCGGAAGTACAGACAATCCAGGTGTTTAGCTAGCTTGGATTGTGGCGTCGTTGTAGGACATGCTCTGATACGTAACACTGGGGCTTTTGGGAGTTTGTTATCATTTGTTGTTTATGTGTGCCCCCTGTGGCGTATCTGTTCTTTTGTGGGATGTGTGATGTTGCTTGATGGATATATATATATATATATATATATATATATATATATATATATATATATATATATATATATATATATATATATATATATATATATATATATATATATATATATATATATATATATATATATATATATATATATATATATATATATATATATATATATATATATATATATATATATATATATATATATATATATATATATATATATATATATATATATATATATATATATATATATATATATATATATATATATATATATATATATATATATATATATATTGGGCAGATGGCCGATTTTTGTATATGTGATGATGTATATATACATGTTATGTGGTTTATGGCAGACTAATTTTATTTTTCCGCTGCAATATTACTGAAAATGATTTTTGAGAAATGTTATGTGGAATCTTTTGGAAAAATTTTGACTTCCCGTAAGTGGGAGAAACTCTGATATATGCTTATTTTAATCGTTTTATTTATTTTGGGAAACGGGGTGTTACACGATGAGGCCACATGACAACTAACCTCGTCGAATCAATGAATTATGGTTTCAAGGGAATCTGAAACCTACCGATAACTGCATTGGTAAAGGCAACATATTTTAGGGTAGGCGCACTCTTTGATAGCTGACGTATGAAGTGGGGTTCAGTATTACAATCTGGTCAGCTGTACAGTGATACTTCAATGACATTCATGAAAGACGAAGCTTCCAAAGCCAACACGCATGTGGTCACAATCTTTGACTGTAATAAAGGTTGGTTCAGTGTTGTCGAGTCAATTGATCACAACAAAGGAAGGCCTAGGGGATGTTACCGTGTTGAACTGGATAGGAGCTGGTGTGATTGTGGGAAGTTTCAGGCATTTTGTATGCCTTTGTCTCATGTTATAGCAACATGTTCGAAGGCGTGGCAGGACCCAGCCAACCTTCTTTCTGCAGTTCACCAAGTGATAAGTCTATGCAATGTCTACACATGTAGCTTTCAGGTGGTGGCAAATGATGACTATGGGCCTCAATACGAAGGCGAAATTGTCTAGCATAATGATTTGATGCGAAGAAAGAAAAAGGGTCGCCCTAATAAAACGTGCATTCGAACAGAGATGAATACCGCAAATAAGATGGTAAGATTATGTAGTTCGTGTCGGCAACTAGGACACAATCATACAAAATGTCCTAACATAGGATCAAGCACGAGATCATAGTGTCTAACGTAACTGTGTCCCTTTAAATCAAAAGCAAATTTCATTCCATTTAAAGCACACTTAACCGATTACAATTAGCAAGCAACAGAAATTAAAAAAACATAACTTAATATCACAACAACATTCCAAAAATAACAACACAAAGACATAAAACAGAACAATCCACCAAGGCGTCTACGATATCACAACCATCAACGTTATCTTCTTTGGTGTTAACATCATCATAAGGACACCATCATCATTTTCCACTTTTATCCATTCACAAGTAACTCCGTTTCTCCATGCCTCCTCGACCAACCTCTCAATTTTCCTAATCTTTTCGCCTGGGGCAATATCTCCTTCTAGCCAGCGGTTCAGTTCCCTATGCAAATGCTCCAACGTCTGCGTATTCCACAGGAGCACCTTCATTAGAGGCTTTGTTGCTGAAAAATAAACTAGGGCATTTCTTTTCATTAGAGGAAATGTTGAAAACGGTTCCTCTGATGCTGATGACGACGGAGAAGAACGTTGATTTAGAAATGCATACATTCTGGACTCCACTCCACTCAAAATTGTTAAGACTTCGGTCTTTTGGTATACAATGTTGTGGAAAAATATATTTGTTTGCAATCGTATTTAGAGCAACTTTAGTGCAGAGTTGTTAAATCAAAATTTTGTATAGCTTACGTTAGTAATAAAGAATTTGCATTATATTAGAGCTGACATGACATCTAAGTGAACTAAAATTTAGTTCCCATTATCTATATAGTTAACGTTAACTATGTGAAATATATTATAATATTATTTATTTAATTAATAAAATATTCCAACAGCATTAAAGTAATGACATGATATTTGAAAATAGTGGGGTCAAGTTTTGGTTTCTTATAGACAATCATCATTAAAGTAAAAACTACTTAAATCAACTATAAATTTTTTAAATCCTACAAAACACTTTGGGTCCACAAAAAATATCTTAGTTTACCCATTTAGTTTACTCCCATTAAAGATGCTCTTATAGAAAAATAAAATAGTACATGCCCCATATGATATGTCTTAAATACCCTTACAAAATTTATATACTTTTTTCAACAAATACCAAAATTTTTCAAAACTATAAAAATATCAAAATTCAAATGTGACCTACTATTATATATTTTAAATTTATATATTTAATTATATACAAATTAGGTTTTAAAAATATATGTTAATCATACATTTATTATGTTTTAAAATTTATACCTATTTATATTTATTATGTTTAAAAATTATATACAACTATATTTATTATTTTATAAAATTTTATTTATTATGTTTAAAAATTATATACAAATATATTTATACTTTAAAAACTATATTTATTGTTTAAATCAATTTTTATTTTAAATTACAAATATATTTAAAATATATTTTAAAACTATATCACAAATATATTTATTATTTTAAATATCATTTAAAACTAAATCAATTTAAATATATCACATAAAACAAAAAATATAAAAAAAGTAAATAAAAGCAACTAAAAAGAAACTAAAAATTGAAAATGGAAAAAAAGAAAGAAAGAAAAGAAGATACAGACTTGATTCGCCAACTAAATTGGCTGATCAAAACACAAACTCAAACACTAATTTGCCACATGATTTGGCGACTGAGTCTAAAAGAGGTGCATTCGCCACATGATTTGATGATATAAGATTAAAATATGACCACTTTAAAAATTTATTTGAAACTTTATTTTGTTTGAGAATAATTATGAGATAGTTGATTATATAAAAAAAAATTCTAAGTTTGGCACGCATTTTGTGATGCTACATCTTATATAATGTTTGAAAAAGAAATTATAGATTTCAACTTAAGCTATAATATTATTAAAATGCACATAAAATAGTAAATTTCCCATTTGCTTGCGTTGTTTAATCGTCAGTGCCTATGTTTCTTATTCATTATTTAGATATTAACATTTAGTCAACCATATTAGGTGATAATTCACAATATGCATCAACTTGTTCAAATATTCTGAAAGGTTGACCCAGCTTTCTAACTTCTGATTATAAACAATGTACTAGGTACATTAAATTCTAATCAAATTCAAACACTTTCGTTTTCTCTTCCACATTCTCATACTTCATCATCATCGAGCAGTAAGAACAAGATACAAACAATACAAGAGACATTGAAGAAGAAACAAGTGAACCTGAGAGATTGATTCAATGAAGAAACTGAAAGAGGTGATAGGAAAAATGAAGGACAAAGCATCACAAAGCAAAGCTGCAATTTTATCAAAACGGAAAACGCTTTCTCTCTTACGCGCCACATCCCACGACTCTTTCGCCCCTCCAACACATAAACATCTTACCACCCTTCTTTCCTCTGGCGACGGTTCACGCGCCACCGCATCCACCGCCGTTGAGCTTCTCATGGACCGCCTCCAAACAACTCATAATTCAGCGGTGGCTCTTAAATGCTTAATCGCCGTCCACCATATTATCAAACACGGCACCTTCATCCTCCGTGACCAGCTCTCCGTGTACCCTTACAACGGTGGTAGAAACTATCTCAACCTCTCTAACTTCCGGGACAAAACAAGTTCGGTCTCATGGGAACTCTCTTCTTGGGTTCGATGGTACGCGCAACACATAGAGCATCTTCTATGTGCTTCTAGAATACTCGGTTACTTCCTCGGCGAAACGACAATGGACGAGGGAAGAGTTTCGAGTCTGGTAACTGGTGATCTGTTGAGAGAAATAGATTCTTTGGTGGAGATGATGGAAGGGATTGGAAAAAGACCAAATAGTCCGATAATGGAACAGCAGAACAAGGTGGTTGTTGAGATAATGGATTTGGTGGAAGAGGATGGAGTTGTGGTTGTGAATGAAGTTTTGGTTAGAGTTAAGGAATTTGGAGAGAGGGAGAGATTGGGTTGTCTTGGTTTTGGAGAAGTTGTGGAATTGGTTTGTGTTTTGAAGAGATTGGAGATGTGTCGAGAGAGAATGATTATGGTGATGGAGGAGAAGAAGTTTTGGAATTTGGTGAGAGAATTGAAGGAAAAGGTTGGGAAGATGAAGGTGTATAGGGAAGAAAGAAAGGTTTACAGAACGGTTGGAAAAGACAGAGGAACTGAGTCGGTTCGGTTTTGATTTCATTCCGTTTGGTTCTTTAAGGCTCTTTTAATAATGTTTTGTTTACATAGTTTCTTTCTTTTATGTTGAAATTGTTGTGCATAGAGATAGTAGTAATAGGTTTTAATGTTTATTTTGCAAATTTTGTTTATTTTAAGTAGAAATTTTAGTGTAGAGATAGAAGAAATTGAAGTAGGAATTGTCAATGTTGTGAGATGGATGGTTTTGGTTGAAGTTGAAACTAAAGAATGTGCCCTTGTCTAATTTGTGTGTGTGTGTGTTTCGAAAGATAATTTTAGAGACAATAATTTGTTTTTCTTTTTTTAATTAAATGTTATAAATTTATTAAAAATAAATGAAGTGTAGTCGATTTTTATATATATTATATTGTGTTTTTAGGTTTCAAAATATAAGTATATATATTTAAATATAAAAATAGTTTTCAAACCAATTTTTTTTCAAGTTCATTTATAATTGCATAATTAATTGTCCTACACTAGATACGTTTGAGGTCGTATCCTGTACATTCTATTTGAAACTAAACTATCACTTTAACGAGAATGTGGTGTTTACCGTAGAAGTAAATTTGAAAGTTTGTTGATTATATTTCATTGCTCATGCTCTATCATGAAAGAGTCGACACCAAAAAAAAATTATAATATAAAGAAATTATATGTTTTGGAAATACCATTTCTACCTTTCTCTCTTCATTTGATCACTCATTATTTTGGGGTTATTTTGTGTTTAAATCAACTATTTCTCAACTATTTTCATAAAATGTTTCAAATTAACCGAGTTTATTCTTTTCACAAGGGAGAAACCTCAGCAAAAAAGGGTACATGAGAAGGTATACAGACGACGTACATAAAAGAATCCTAGTTCGACCAGGATGTAGACTTAGTGTTTTTCTAGATATTACAAGGAACATTTCACCCACGTGATAATATCGACCACGTAATACTTACGACAGAGTCAAATTAGTCGAGAAGGTGGTTATTTGAGCGTGCAATGTTACATTCAAATACTAATAACTGCGTGTAGGTTTCTTTCTGAAAGGACACATGGGGAAAGCACCGAGACTGGCTGAATGCAATACTTCACGTGGAAAACTTTGAAGATAGAAACGTTAGAGTTAGTTATTTCATACTTGTATATATAGGAGTTTATTTTGTTTAATTCGGGGTGTTCATTTGGTTATAGAAATCTTACATATAAAACTCAAAGTGTCAGTGTCTAGAGAAATGAGTTATGGCTGAGAAAATATAGGAACGATGAATTACCATCCTAGACTTTCAATGCAAAACTTCTAATTTACCTTTTTTTTTTACTTTTCCTTATTTCATTTACTTCAAATACTTTTTAAGTTATTTCACTCAGCATTTTCAGGCTTTGTCATTTTCTTTGTGTATTTCTAAAAGTAGTCGACATTGTAACATTCTTTTAATCACTTGAGATCATATTTTGACCAAGTCAAAAACAGTCACTTTAACGCAAGAGTATCAAAGGAAAGACATAACTTGACACTATATCCTATGATTCACTGGTTGATCCTGCAAGTGATCTTTAATATTAAGAGACCAACGGTTGTTTACCATTTTCAGGGTAAACATTTGTATCCTCAACATTCCATTTGAAACTAAACTATCACTTTAACGAGGACGTGGTGGTCATCATAGAAGTAGATTTGAAATTCTGTTGGTCATATTTCATCGCTCAAGCTCTATACTATGAGAGAGTCAACACCAAAAAAAATTTATAATATAAACAAATTATATGCTTTATGTCACACCCTAATTTTTGACTTTAAGATCCCACCTCCTTGTGTGTTTTCTTACGTTGTTTGGCTTTATACTTTTGTATCAGTATTCATTACGACTAACAAGCTTGTGCAGGTATGTCAAGTTTAGTGATACTGTTTCTCTCAATTTAAGCGTCTCAGGCTATCTCTGGATCATTTTCAAAAGGCGCATTGTCATTTCTAAAAGAGCGGAAATGTTCATGCTTCGAGTTTTATGTTTTTCAAGGCGTTGCAGTGATATTCTGGACCGTGCTACAAAGGGTTGAGTTCTATTTATTTGAAGTGTTCCAATTACCATTTTCAAGCTATTTTAATGCACAAATCAAGTTCATGGTGAAGATGTGGGGCTTTAAGCGTGTTGGGTTTGACTTCAAGGTTTGGCAAGATGATTTTCATTTTATTAAAATTTCTTAAGACATGCAGAGGACTTTTGGTTGCAAGCGTTTGAGTTGTTTTGGTTCAACTTCAAGGCGTTGGATATTAAGCTCATGGTCAAGACATTTTTTGGATTACAAGACACAAATCTTCATTATATTCAAAAATTGGCTTACATTTTATTTACAAGATACAAGGATTGCAAAAGTTACTATTATTGATTACATCAAGAAGTTTCTAAACTAAATCTTAAGGACTACCCTAAGATATCCTAAAGTCCAAAGATCTTCAAGTTGTTCTCCATCTTTGTCATCTTAAACTGTACTTGCAAAAACAATGGACAAAAAGCAATTAGTATTTCAAAGGATTTCAAAAAGAAGGATTTTATTGTTTTTTCTTACGACCCTCAGATATAATATCATTATCGTGCCAAAAGACAGAAGGGAAATAATTTGGAATTGCCACCAACTTCCATGTAAAAAGGGACAGACCCATTGGTGGCATTTTTGAAACCGGTTCAGACTAAGTCATCATCACCAAGTGCAACTTTTTCCAACAGCATCAAGCAGAAACCAAGGCAAAAGTATGTTCTTAATAATACAAGTGTTTTTCGCAAAAAAAAAAAGAAGAAAAGGAGATACAGTCAGTTCTTTTTCCAGCAAGTCAAAGATCCAAGTTCCCAAATCAAGCCATCATCATTAAAATAACAACAAGATCCGAAAATATTGAAACGTTTCCAAAGTGAACCCAGATCCAAAAATGGACAGCAAATATTGCTATCAATGTCATAGGCGAGCTGGAACAAAAAGCCAAACGGATCTTTATTTTTCCAAAATTATCACAGCAAATAAAGAACGAAAATGGAAAAGGTTAAAAATTTATAAAACCTTCCAAATTAATATCGGACAAGATCAACCTGAAGAGAAAAGTTTTTAAAACTTTGTCTCAGAAACGTTTTGAATCCGAGCTATATAAAGAAGAAGACGAAAAAACCAAAGGCTCAGAGCACAAACTCATCATTGTCGTAAATCGAAACCCACAAACTGTTAGAGAAAAATTTCCTCATCGCCCAAAAACATCATCGCAAAACCATAAACAAAATCCCAGTTTGTAAAAAACCCAGAAACCTCAACATCAAAACTGTCCGCAAAACCGAAACCCAGATCGCAAAACAAACCCGTCAACTCCAAAGGAAACCCATCACAAACTGTCCAAAAGTCATTTCAAGATTGTAAGAAACATTCAAACTTCCACAAAACCAAGTCACGAAAACCATCAGAAAACACAAACAGAACACAAATCCAACTGTAAGTCCCACTCTTTTAACATCATTTGTTTGGTTTAGTGTTTTTCAGGTCAAGAAGGAGAAGACTGATGAATAAAATCGCGGCATGGAGAGAAGAAGAAAGAGGAAGAGGGCGGAAGAAATGAGAGAACGAGGAAATGGAGAAGAGGCAATGGCGGAGGAAGAGAGATGATTTAGATTTTTTAGGGTTTTTTCAGCTTTTGGTTTTTTTTTATATTGTGTTGTTATATATGTGCTCACCCACGTTTATTGTAACACCCCGTTTCCAAAATAAAATAAAACAAACAAATAAAACACATATCAGAGTTTCTCTCCCAAACGGGATGCCACAATACACGTCAAAATTTCCACAAATATTTTTCCAAATAATTTAACTGAATTTTTCAATAAAATTGCAGCGGAAAAAGATATGGTCTGTCATAACACAAAATATTATATACATACATCATCCATATCCATCATCATCATCTTATATACAATAACGACCATTTGCCCCAAAATACACAACATCATCAAACATCACCACACATATACCAAAAACAGATACGCCGTAGGGGCACACATATCAACATCGACAGTAAAACTCACAAAACGCCCCGGTGTTACGTATCAGAGCAGCCCTACGGAGACACCACAATCCAACAAGCTAAACACTTGGGTTGTCTGTACTTCCGAAGAAGCACAGACCACAACAACAACAAAGGGGTAAGAATTACGATTAAATAATAATGGTATAATAGTACATGAAATAAAAGGCAGAAATCAATAATAATACTATTTCATATACATATCATCCGGACTCACGGTCCCACCATCAACCACAACACACTATCACGCAACAATGCACTCACACAACTCTAAACTTACAGTATCGACTCACAATCACGATGGGCACCGGGCCATCAACCCCCCTCACAGGAGCACATATCAACGATGGGCACTTGGCCATCAACCCTCCACTCAGGGAGCACACCACACTGATGGGAAAGTGACCATCAACCCTCCAGAATGGGAGCACCGCAACAATACCGATGGGCACCTGGCCATCACCCTCCACAACGGGAGCACATCTCCGATGGACACCTGGCCATCACCCTCCATTACTGGAGCACCTCATCAACATCGATGGACACATGACCATCACCCTCCTCACCGGGAGCACAACACATTAACATCGATGGACACATGGCCGTCGCCCTCCTCACCGGGAGCACACCAACAATACCGATGGTCACTGGGCCATCACCCTCCTCACAGGGAGCACACACAACCATATTCACACACAACATACATCTATCACACAAGTGCAAACCGATCCTATTGATCCACCCTCACACCATAAATATACATACACGACGCACAAGGCGTGCCGATTCCACGGATCCATTCACATCACATTTTACATACATAACAAGCACATATAGTGCGTCGATCCCACGGATCCATTCACCACACAACTTATCATATACAATGCACACAAGGCATGTCGGTCCTACTGACCCAATACATCACATAACAGCACACAATTGCAACGCATAA